TATAATAAACATCTAGATTGATGTAAATTAGGTTACAGTTACGCAAGAGATTTCTCAAAGTCCCATTCAGACCAGTGGGACTCCTCAGACACTGACAATGTGTCACCTTGCTGAATCAGTGCTTTTACACATGAAAAAAAATGGATAGCTCAACTTTCTCCTAAAGCACGCACTGAAATGTCTCAATATTAAGAACTGTATTTTACAAGGTTTCATTCATATGAAATCAACTGGAATTTCACTGAGCCAGCTGCCGGTTTGGGAAAGCACTTTAGAACATTTACCCAATCCCCTCACATATGTAAGGTTTACATAAGTATCTAAGTGTTATTCTCAACTGGAAATGAGATGGTTAAACAATTACCCTATTTGAGTTCAAACTGTACTACTAGCTAGGTTAGCAAAATAAAGGCTGCCAGCAAATAACAGAGATAAGAAGTACACCATTCTATTAAAGTACTTTATATGTCTATGAGAAGCACTGCAACTTGACAGAACAATTTTCAATCTGAGACTCTACTTCTGGATCCTACAACTATGCTTCCTCAGATAATAGTTACACTTCCTCTTGCCTCACTTTCCTCATTTGTAACAATGAAGTCTGACACCCTTTAGAGCATTGAAAAAAACCCCAACATTTGCTCTGCCTAACTTGCTCCTTGTAACACATTAGCAAACCACCATGTGACTGCATTCACATCTAGCCATCACAATTGCTTATGGACACGCAATGCCCTGGGAACACATTTCCAGACAAGCAGAACAAGTCACATAAGCCTTTCCCTGATCTTGTTTACCTCTCCTTTATTGAGAAGTGGGAAAGCCACCACGCGTTCAACTACTCCCTCTTCACCCACGTGTACAAGTGGAGATGAAAGGAAGAAAGCTCTGCCAGTTCTAAGCAGCTGACCATGAAAAGCAGCATTTTATAGTGTCAGAGATCCTCAATGAATGGAAATTAAATCACTATGATTGAGTACAGAGTTAAGGAAGGCTACCTGCAGATAGACTATGTTGCAGATAGACTATGTCCACACTAGTAAATCAAGCAGTGCCAGGAATTAATCCCAGGAAACAGAATTCCCTCAGTCACAGACTGCTGAACTGTCAGACTGGCACAGCATTCTTCTAAGGCAGGGCAGCTACAGGTCTCCCATGCAATTTTGAGGTACAGTTTTGGATTTAACACAGGCCAGGTGCTAATCACAATCACTAGCTTGTACTCAGCTATCCCATTCTGGAAGGCAGGAGAGTTTAGCAGCATTGACAAGGGCCAATCCACAAGAGTTGGCTTCAGAACCAGAAAACAGCCTTGGGTGCATTTAATTAGCTGCAGAGAAGTGGTCATAGCCTCTCCAGGCTTCATCTGCTATTATTCCTAAAGGAATATTTTAAAAGTGGCAAATGCAACGATGAAGCATATAAGCATTGCCTGATCAGCACCACCTGACAAAAGTCACCTACGCACTGTAGCACACAAGAAGAAAATTAGAAATTAGTAGAGCTCATCTTAGCTTCTTCCTGTTTCCTCTGAGTAGGCAGACTTTGCATATGATCTACTAATTTCCACAGTCTCATTTATTTTCTCAGTTTAAAAAAAGACAAAATTTACACATTCAGAATACATTCTTATAGTAAGGCTACCCTCTACATGAATAATGTAGAATAGCGTAAGAGGCTGTGCTTCTGAGGGCTGATCATTTGGCAGTAAATATTTCAAATTATGGTTATTTAGAAATTATTTTTCTTCTAATTATTAGTCATTACCAAATTTGCTTCTGTAGACTAAAAATGTAATTACTGGTGAGTCTATTATGTTATCCTGGAGCTACAGCAATTTTGGCAAATACGTTTTCACAATAGAGAACTGTGCAAAAAAACAACAGTAAAAACACATTTGACAACTGACAATACACAGCTATTCCATGTTATTAATCTTGAAACAAATCTGAAGTTTTTTTACATTTTCATCTATCTAGAAACGGTCTAGTTAAAACTGCCCTGTTTATAATCTGATGCCTCTGACACCTTTGCTCTATGTTAGAATGTGTAAGCCGTCCCACAGAAAATGCATTATGCAAAACCCTTTTGCCACTGCTTAAGCATTCATGGTTTCAGTAAGGACAAACAATTTCATTTAACAGCCCCCTTGGGCACGGATCTAACTTGCTCTGACCATTTAAAATATGTATGTTACCTGTAAATCTTTACGTAAATCAACCGTTTTCTTGGAAAAGTGTTTTTATTGATTTACAAGGAAAACTTCATTATATGCTTTGGGTTTTATATATACATACATATATATATATATACATGCATACATACATATATATATATATAGTAGGCTGCACTGTATTATCTGACTTTTACAAAGCAAGTATGAGGAAAACCATGCAGCACACCCAAATAAAAATGACATACTCGTCTAAGTAGATGAAAAATCATCAAAACCAAGCGAGGCACTTCTATTTTTTTCCAGGAGCCACACGCACACCGTACTGACACCGGCAGGTTCAAGAGTTGTGCACAAGCAGGAGCCTAAAGAAGCAGGTGACAGCAAGAAGCCAGCCCCACCCCGTGCCCCTGACCAGCGGCCCGGAGGGCCGGTCCAGGAGAGCCGAGGGGAGCCAGGCCACCTCCTGGGGACGGAACCCCGGCGGAAGCGCGGCCCCCGCACGCCGCCTCCGCGCCGGCACCACCGCCGACGAAGGAGCAGGAGAAGAAGGAAACCCCCCACGGGCGGCCCGACGGGCCACGGGACGCGGCCGAGAGCGCCCACCTGGGGCTGGCAGCGCTCCCGCCCCCGCTGCCCGCCCGCGGCTCCGGCGGCTCCACTGGGAGAGGGGGCGCCCGGCTCCGCGGTGCCCACTCAGCCTCCTCGGGGCGCCGGCCCCCGAACCGTCCTAGCCCACGGATACGGATCCTCGGGGCTGGAGCGGCTTCCTGGCCGCGGGATCCCGGCTGGGGCGAACCGGCATAACCGTGCGGCGCTCCCGGCGCAACTCTCTCCCCACTCCTGCCGCCCGTCCCGCCGGCCCCGCGGAGCTGCTCCCGCTGCTGCCCGGCAGCGCTCCTCGCCCCGGCTCGGCTCACCTCACGGCGCGGCCGGTGCCCTGCGGAGCCCGGCGCAGCACAAGCGCGGCCTGAACCCATCCCTCCGGGAAGTTTCCTGCCATCGCAGCAGCTGGGGAAAACAAAAGCTTCAGAGCCGGGAGCGGGAGGAGGAGGAGGAAGGGAAGCGCAAGCGGAGAAGTGAGAGGCATTGCTCGCCCGCCGCGCCGCTGCGCTCGGCTGCCGACTCCCGCGGAGGACAGCCCGCTCAGCGCCGCCTCCCCATTGGCTTCGGCGGCGCCTCTGCTGCCCGAGCAGCGCCGCGGAAACGCCGGACTGAGGAGCAAGCAGGCGAGCCAGCGCCTCTCTCCCCTCCCTGCCTCCGTCCGTCCCTGCCCGGCGCCGGCAGCTCTCCCCGCACCGCGCGTCCCGCCGCCGCAGCGCCGCCGAGCCCCGCCCGCGCCGCGGCTCCGCCTCCCGGGGGCGCGCGCACGCTCGGGCCGAGTGGGTCCCACCGCCCCCGGTGCCCGTGGGCGCTCCCGATGGAGCGGCCCCGCCGACCCTCCGCTCCGCACCAGCGGGCAGCTCGGGCTGGGCTGAGCCGCTCCGCAAGGCCACCCCTTCCAATTCTCACCGCCCAGCGCCAGCACGCTGCTCCTGTAAAGTTGGAGGCGTGTCTTTAAAAACCGAGGTAAAAGATGCTGAAAAGCAGGATTAATAAATGCAGAGGAGCCCCAAGCTTCCTGCCGGGCAGGGACATAGATATGTTATGTGCTTGGTGGTACTGCAGTCCTTGTGTATATAAAGGGAAAATTAGTATATCTCTAAGAGTCACTTTATCACAGAGAGTTGTGCTAGATGATTTTTAAGGACTAGCCTTCACAAGCCTTTATGTCACAGCTAACTTGGTAAGGGGGAAGGTTTGCCAGACAGGATGTAGTTAGCAACGTTAAGGTCGCAGAGTATGTGGCATTGGCAGCCCTATCGCTTCCGAACTGGGATAGGGTGACTGCTGATGCTGAGAAGTGCAAGGCCATAAATTGTAGTCTCAAGCCAAAGTCTACGTGGTTCCGGGTAGCTTTTTGTGGTTTTCAGTAGTTCTTTCAGTAATTATGTATTATTGACAAGACTCACTATATCATAACAAATAGCTGTACAAGGATGTAAACTGATATGAAAACTCTGTATTGTATTACAAAACTTGATGTCTAAAACAAGGAAGAGTCTTTAAGAATCCCTTTTCCTATTCAAAGTGCATTTACCTGATTGCCAGCTAACAAGTCTCTACATCAGATCACAGCTGCTCACAGTGAACTCAAACCATGAAAGAAGAGAATGAGGAAGCTTCTCATTCTCCCACATGGATCTCTTAAGCATGCAGCTGATGGGATGCCAGCAGAATGCTAGCAGCTACATCCAATCAAAGCACTGATGCTTTGATTTTTGAGAAGTTCAGGTCTTGATTGAGTTCAGCAGCCACAAGGCTGAGAACTGCAAAGCTAATACAGAGAAAAAGCAATTCTTTATGACAGCTTTAAAAAATTCTTTACTGAGTAAAATTATTTCTTTATTCCTACATCTTGTGTAACAAGTGGGTGTGAGCACTTTTTTGGTTGTAATTTCCCATCAGAGAAAAATTGCTGTTAAGTTCTGCTGCTCATTTGGAATGCATAAGGAAAAGAACCTGTGGACCTTATTTGTTTTGTGGGACGCACTCTGAACTCCTCCCGTCTGAAATAGGCATAACTAACCAGTGAGAACCTGCTCTACTGGAGCTTCTGATTTGTTTTGCTGTGGTTGGATAAAGTTTTTCAAGGCTTTTTCTAGCATAGGGGAGGCATGATATATTGATTCGATTTGAAAATTCTCAGATATTATCACTGCACTCCATCTTGTGGAAGAGGCAACAATGTGTTTTTAAATGATCCTGTTGTGGTTTGTTTGAGTAATTAAACCTAACAATGTTTCGTTCTTACTGCCAAAGCAAGCAACTACATATAGCAGTGGATACAAGAAGTTGCTTAATTCTCAGTCTGCCTAATTGTACCCAATGGATTTGTGTAAATGTCCCTTGGTTTAGGTATGAGCTTCACATCTCCTTTTCCTTTGTTTTTGGAAGGAGCTTTAGGAAAGCATTTGGAAAGTCTAATTTGAAAAGAGAAACTAAAGCAGAAAAGAATCTGCTTTCTAGGTGAAGTTGCCGAGGAGCAACCAGATATGTGAGAGATTTGGGGATGATGATCTGTGGGGATGTGTGGCTGGGGGGAAGACTCTGCCAAGCAGGACTGTGTAGGGAGCTGACTGGTTGGGGTTTTGGTTTGTGTGGGTTTGCTGGGTTTTGTTACCCCTATATGACTCACAATAATCTAGTTGTATCTGGACACTATTGAGGATTACTATCTGTTTTACCAATAAAAAAGAAACAAATGATGAGGTTCTCTCTGTTCTTCTGAAACTGCCTTTCATGGTTTGTGACCTTTTTCTCCTTGATGTTCAGTGCTGCTTTGGGAAATCAAAATAGATGCTGAGGCAACAGCTATGAACCATAGCAAGGGCATAGTCATATGTGTTTGTGTCTGGCCAGGTTCAGAGAAAATTGAGAAACTTATCTGGATTCACTGCTATGGAAGGGTTAACCTTATAATAGTTACCCAGGACAAGCTTGAAGATAAAGCCATTTAACCTTAATGAATAACTTAAAATACAAAGGGCTAGTTATTCCGGCTGTTCCTTGGATGGAAAAAAAAAGATTTTCTCGAGAAAAGACTGTAGAAAAGCTTAGTCATTCAGACCCAAAGAAACAGGGAAAAACAGGAAGAAGTTAGGAGGAAATTCTTTTGTGCAAATGAGGATCTTCCGAATTACCTCACCCCAGAAGTAGATTTCACAGGGAGACTGAATTTAATTAGCAGCCATAAACTGTGATTTTCTTTTTCTCTTTTTTTTCCCAGAATTCTCCTCTCTCTTGCAGTAGCAGAAAAACATGCACCTCTGTCTGTTGTGGTGTGGAACAGCAGTGCTGAATGAAGCACTGGCCTTTTCTGTTTCATTTACCAGGGAGAGCCTTGGACAACTTGCTGATTGCTGGTATGTCTTACTGCTCCAAACTGTGCTAAGTCTGGTAAAGTAGAAATGATCTAAGTAATGCCTCAGTGCAAACAAGGCCTTGAAGGTGGAATGTCTCTTTCTGTCTGCTATTCTAACATTGGTCTCATTAGTTCCTGATGTAATACTAAAGGCAGGGAATCATCACTGACTACTGTATTTGTTAGCCTTTTCCAGATTCTTTGGTCATCTTCCTGGAGCAATGACTCATCACTTCATCACTGCACTGATTACATTAAATTGTTATTATTATTACAATATAAGTAACATAATGCTTATGTTAATTCACTTTGTGTGGAACTGTCAGAATTCCTGAAACAGTCCTCAATTGAAAGCATCCTACATGAACATTTTGGCATTACTTACATTCTTCCTAATTATTCTATTAATATTTATTATATTTAATTCTGTTCAGTGATGGTTTTTGATATAGTATGCGAAAACTCGGACCAAATGGTCAGACCGTTTTGTGAAACCATTAGTCTCATTTGAAAGGAAATCAGGACATAACATGACTGCTCTTTCTCTTAAAGAGGTCAAAGAGTAATGTTGGGGCAGACTTGAAATGGAAGAAAAATGAAGAGTCTGCATTTTAAAACCATTAAACACAGATGATAAAATGATGCAGTTAGGGTTTTGGTGGTTTTTTTTTTCTAATAGTAGCAAGAAAATATGCAGATGAACAGAACAAATGTCAGATGTTGAAAGATTTTATATTTGCACTTATTTTATTAAGCAGTTAGTTGTATACAATCCCAACAGAGTCTCGAGTTTCAAGGCTGGCTCTGAACTCTGTGCCCTGGAGAAAAGAAAGATTTTAAAATGTAGTTTCTGGTATATCCGACATAAAAAACACCCTTATCATCTTTTTTGCTTGTTTTTTCTTTGTAATAGAGTGAATTTGAAGATATGAAAAACCACAGCATAGTGTAACAATGAAGGAACAATACTAAGATCTGACCTTGGTGCATTTATTCATGTGCTTGAAGTTACACAAGTCTTTTGCTCTGTTTACCACAGTAACTAGCGTGAGGTAAGAAAGACTGGGTGAGTTAAGGACCAGAGTGAAAAAACAGGCTGCTATTTTGAAACAGAAATTTATGACACTGATCTGAGCATTTGTACAGAAGGCTGGTGAATTGGAGCTGAGTTTGAAATGTAGCATGAAAATGCTTTCACACCTTTTTCTAGAAAAGTAAAATCCTCTAGAGCCATGTTTGCAGTGCAGCAAATATCAACTAGTCATTTGCTCACAGCTTCAGTTCTTTGTTTTCTATCCTGTTTTCATTCTGAGGGTAAGAGAGAAAGCAAAATTTGTGCCATTGCCAAGCAAATATGAGATAATTTAATATATAATTTCAGGTATTGGCACGCGTTCAGTCTCTCTTATCCTCTTTTGGCCATCTGACTGCTATTGAAGTAATATGTCTTTTATTTCTCATAGCAAAGATGAAAAGATGGTCAACAAACCTCATAAATTCACCTGCCTCTCAAAGGCCATTTGCTGCTTCAGTTGCTACTGTTTGCCTTTGAAGCAAGATAAACGAGCTCTACTGCATCTCTGCACCATTCACATCAATACAAAAAAAATGTTGTGGGAAAATTCAGCATTCAGTTTCCACTCTATAAGACCCTGAAGTGTCTGGGTCTTCAGCAATTGTAATCATTTAGGAAGCTTGTGGAAGTGGAGGACATGGCACAGAGTTGTCTCCAATGTGATATTTTGCCCCTAAAGCTCAGTTCTGAGAACCATGTATCTTCATCCCATGTCCCAGTTTTAAGAAATGGAGAAGACTTCTAACACTTCTCTTCATTTGGACTCTCACGTAATAGAACCAACCAACCTCCCCTTGTAGTTAACATGCTGGACATTTCCTGGTATTTCTGATCTTGGCAGGGAGGCTATGTCCAGTATTACTGAAATTGATACACTCTTTTTAATATGACATTTGTTTCATTTTGTTCTGTAATCCAGGAACCAGGGGCAAAAAATTCTTGATGCATAGGTTTCCTAGAGAGGAACAATAAACTTCTTCCCCCACTCTCTGCCCTTCCCTCCTCCCAGTTTAATGTTTCTTGTGCTTCTATGCAGAGACGGTAATAAAAGAAGTGTAGTCTTGCCCCCATCCCAATCCCAGATGTGCCTGGTTTTGGAATTTTGCTACTGTCACATTCAGCTTCATATCTACTCCAGTTACTTGATACAATTTTCAGTAGAATCTTTGTGGTACATATTGGTATCTTTGTTTTCAAAATTATTTTTACTGATAACATAGGAATTAAAATTAAGTCTTTATTTTTCAGCAAATGCTTTGGGATCCTTACATTATAGTCTAGTGAAACTAGCTAGAATGGCTTTTCAATGTCTTAATGCAGGAAATTATCTACAGTGCATCATCTGAACGTGTCCAGTGTTTTGTGCAACTACACTGTCTAAGAAGAGGATAACACAACAGGACTTCTGCCACAAGCACCTTTCTTTTGTGATGTCACAAATTTGGTAAGGCAAAATCTAATTCTGTGCATCATGTTAGAACTGTAGCCATTCATTAATCAGCAAATTTGACTTTTAATAGATGCTGTAAATCAAGATGGACAACATAGATGGTATTTATTAGAAAATTACAAAGAGTCCCTATAATAATACAGGTTTCTGAACTGCTAACCAATGACAAATGCCTCACAGATCCTCCAATTAAATAAAAACAATGGTGAAAAACTCATTTATCATTAAAAGAGAGCATTACCTTAAGTAAGGTAAACCATTTACCACTGAGATATATCTGTGTTGGAATCCCCTTCTATGAATGAACAATTAACTTCAGCAAAGAATGAACATGAAATAATGAGTTTAAAACAAAATTTTCTGTTCAGTCAATTTAATAAGAATATAAAAATTTTACTGTGGTGTTGCACATAATTTTCATTTCTCTCTTTAAAAAGGTTACTACCCTATTTTAACTACACCTGAGATTGGGTAAGTTTTCGAATTCTTTTTAAGTACCCTTTGTCCTAAATATTCCTTACTATTTTTAGAACAGCACTAGTAACTTAACAGTGACTTTCACCTGTGGAGGCCTTTACAATTCACACTCCTCAGAGAGAATGAAGATGTCTAAGAACATACATGAACATGGGAAATGCCCCACTGGATTGGACTGTGGATCTTTTTTTTGTCTCAGACAGGGGTAAGAGACCCTGGTGAACATCAGGTATTTTGTGTGCACATCAAATGAGGAGGCTGCCATCTCTTCTCCAGAAATGCTCATTGAACTTCTAGCTGCACTTTTTCCTCTGAACTTTTTATTTATACACTCCCTAACCAAGGCCCTTTCCAGTTGCAGGGTCTCCTCATCAACGGCTTCCAGGCCCTGCCCGTGTTGGTTGTTAACATCACCAAAAGAAGTAAGCTTGATGGGGGGATCCCGGTGACAGTGGGACCTGTGTCCTTTCATTCCATCATCCTTCCACACCTCCAGGCAGAGCATCACTGGGCAGCATCCACCTGCTCCTTGGTTAACCTTCGAGAAGCGACGGGTGATGTCAGGGCTTCTCTGCTTCATGCCCTCCTCCAGTTCCCTATCTGTGTATTTCCAGTTCTGTAACTCTTCCCTTTCTATCATTTGTTGTTCATTGCTGTTCAATTTTTTCTCCTTGTTTTCATTACCTATAGCCCTCTCCCTCCCTAGGGGGCCTTCAAGGTTTTGCTAATACATACCTAAACAGAAAAACAAATAGAAACAGCAGCAGTAGGAGAAACTATTCACAGAGTGCACACAAGCTTGGCCACCTTCTTCAAACCATGTTCTTTGTACTCCCCTAGCTTCCATGGCTCTTATGAAGATAAATCGTTGCTTAGTCCTTTCACTATCCATTTTTTGGATTTTTTGTATGTGAACTTATCCAATTCTTGTCTGAACCTACTGTTGGGATCTGCTGCCACAACCTCTTTCAGCAGCAAGTCTAAAAATACACTAGCCACTGTTTAAATTAATGTGTTATTTTTATCTGTTTTAATTCCACCAAATAAGCCAAAATTGTAATGTGGTGAAAAATGGTTCTATATTCATCTTTTCAGCCACCTCTGTGATTTCATAAACAAGTCTTGCCACAGCGCTCTCCCAGTTGATAATTTTTTAGTCTGATCTCATAAGACAGCCGCTACCTTTAATCCCTTTAATAATTGCAATTGTTTGATATGTATCTTCCCTAACTTTTATCAGGTCCTATTCCAGGACCAAAACTGTAGAGCATTCAAAATGTGGATACAATAGAGTTGCATTAGAGGTAAGGCAAAATGATGCTTTCTCACTACCATTTCAGATTATGCCAAACACTGGGTTTTGCCTCTTGTTTGACAAACTCATGCAGGGATTTCAGAGAATTTCAGTCTCAAGAACTTTAACATTTCTGAGCTGTATCTGGTCATAAGATCTGGAAGTGCTTTGTGACAATTTGTGTACTTCAGAGAAAGCTAATTAAATACTGTTGTTAAATTTTAGAAGCATTTCAGTTAACCAGAATTTCATTCTGAATCCCATAAACGATTACTTTTTACCATTTTTCATATCATCCATGAATATGTCTATTGGTCCCAGTGCTGTAGGTCTTCCAAAGGAACACCTCTACTTGGAGTGAAGTGGAATTCTAGTTTAAATAAGCTCAAATGTATCTTTGGTATAAGGCAGACAAGGTGAAAACACTGTAGATCTTAGCTAGGAAGACAACATAGAGAGCAAATTGGAATTATTTTTGGATCAGTACCTGAGTCCTATGATAGAAAAGCCAGCTGCTTCTTCTGTGGTTGATGATCTCCATGCTGAGTGTAGAAGAAGGAGGGGAATGAGTGCTCCTTAAACATCATTGAAATTTTCATAGGTTTTTGGGAATTTTCTTAATTCCTTAATTTTCAATGCCCGAATATCAAAAGTGAACAATTAAAGTTTTTTATCAGAGACTTTATGACTTTGAGCTGTTTGTGTGTGTATGTGTACAGACATCCCGTATATGATGCACTCTTTGACTTGAAGGCCTTGCACTCAAACAAACAGGTACTGGGTGAGGAAAAAAATTTGTTCTTATCCATTTGACATAGAGGTGTAATGGCTATCTAGCAATCAGACATTTTGCATATTACATTTTGCTTAGCACATTAGTTCTTACCTATTCAATATCCACATGAAACAGTAATGTATGACACCTGTAAAGGCAATTGCAGAAACAGACAGCAGGCTGTTCTTTTATAAGGTTCTTTGCTGGTTTAGTTTTGTATTTTAAAAATCCAGATATTTTAAATTCATTTTATAGCAAATAAAAGAATGTGCTACCTGTTGGGTTTTTTTAGGGGGGAATGTTGTAAAATATCCAAAGAATAAGTAAAATGTCCATTTAAAAATGAAGAATTTCACACCATTCTATTCTTACGAATGCTGATTACTGGGGAGGAAAGGGTTGTTGATGTGAAATCTCTATGTCCTTTTAGAGCAACTCTGTTGTTAAAAGGAGACATGTTTGAAGAGTGAACCTTTTGCTAATGATGAGCATCCCCTTTGCATTTTGCCTTCAAATGGAAGATCTGTTTTGTTTTGTTTTTTTTTTAAATTCAGGGAGGAGGTGGTTACAGCAAAGTTGTGCTTTAACTGAAAAATTTGATAAAGCCATCCTTTTTTTCAATTTCAGATCATGTTTACTGAAGCATGTTTCTCCTGATTGCTCTATATAAAGTCCTTTCTAATGTTATGATTGATGCCTCTAAATACACAGGCAGTGAGATGGCAATCACCAAGAAGGGAGAAAAGACATGAATAAATTTAGAGTTGAAATTCAGAACGTTTCTAATCATCAGAAGAATCAGGTTCTGGAACAGTTTTTCAACAGAAATCATGGTGGGATGAACTCTTTTCAGTACAAGATGACATCTGTGATTTCCAGCTCTGCCAATTTAATCGGAAGACTGTAACACAGCCTGGAGTCTTTATTTCTTGTGCAGAACGAAGAAAAAAGAAAAAAGTCTGAATTCCCCAGTCTGGGCATCCTACTGTCTATGTGGGGACATAGCTACAGCTCTGTTCTAGGGATTAAAAGGAGAAAAACCACATTCTGCTCTGCTGCACCTTGCCTGTGCAGGCAGTGAGCTGTTACTGAGCTGTGGAGTTATGTTAAATAACTTTTGTGAAAGCATCTGTGGAAGTTTTAGACATGACTGCTTTTCTGCTGGAGGGCACTGTCATCAGAGCTGAGCTGGTAGAAATGCTCATACAAGTGTTTCTTATTTTCTTCAGCAAAAGGTCAGCCAAGATTAGCTCCAGATATGTTAAACAATAGGTTAAATGACGCCAGCTGACTTTGTGCAGAAGCAGATTAGGAGTGCCCACAAAGGCCATTCCACAACTGAGCTCTAGAGGCAAATGAACTCAGGAAGCAAAAACAACAGCTTCTGCCATTTCTTTGGTTACTGACACAGCTCAGTGGCTGTATCTATGCAACCAGTTATTTCTGCTGCAGTCTGAATTTTAGTCTCCATACAGTGAGGACCTTTGAAGTATCAGGCTTGTAACATTTCTGGACAAGTTGAAAACACTTTGTTTCCAGATTTATGCATTCTCAGATGTTTTCCTGTGGTGCACTGGGAAATGCCTGATGGAAGGAAAAATCAATGGACAATACGGACTTGTGCTTGCTTTCATGCTGCCTTGATGCCCCTTTCTTCTTGGCCTGTTTGGATGGCTCTGTACCACACTGCTGGGCCTTGCAAGTGCTGAAATGCTGGTGAGTGGGTGTTTGACATCTTGACTAATGAATATCTCATTCTGGCGAGTCACTCACAAAGCTACCACAGAGCTTTAGCATGGCACTCACACTGGCACATTTTAGACCAGTGTCTTCTTTCTAAGGGTGATCAGTAGGTGCTTACAAGAGCAGTGTAAAAAACATGTACCAAATTACATGTACTCTGCTTTCCAGCCGTGAGTGACTTATGGACTTCCTAAATCACTTGTTCTTCCTAGGTGTTACATCCCAAATGCTGTGTTTAACAACTACACATTAACTTGTACTTCAGCATTGCTTTTTGGGGTGGTTTTTTTACTTCTTTTTTAATCTACTTATATTTTTAACCTCCATAACATCTCAATGAGTTCCACAATTTAATTATACATTAAAAAAAGAACTGACTGGCTTGCAGGACTTACAGTGCACTGTAGCTACACATTCCTCAAAGCCTATTTGCCATTTTAGTGCCCTTGTTGCAAAGTTCCAGCCTACAGGGACACATACAGAAGCTAGAAATGGAAAAGATCTATTATATCATAGTGTTAGCTCCAGCCTTAATAGAAAATGTTTCAGTCACAGCTTGACATGATAACATCAGTGTACTTTAAAGATACAGCAGGTCTCCAAACAGTCTGCAGGGTGCGAAAACAAAATGACTTCTACAGCCCCAGGGTGTTTTTCCTCAACAGAATGAGCAGGACAGGATTCATGCTAGAGCTACTGTGAACATCTCTTATGGAATAGGTGCTATTTTGAGTAGGCTTGTCGTTTTCCTGGCAATTGTAGTTCTAGAGGTATTTCCTATCCTTCAACAATTGCTAGACTAAAACTGTGTGCATTTCCTTTTATTTGTAATACAGAGATCACCTCGTTGTATTAGTAAGCCAAGATTTGTAAGTATCTTCATGGGGAATACAGTTGGTTTTCCATACCGTAAACACTGTTTAAAGAAGAGGGATCAAATGGTTGAAAGTTTACCATAAACAGTCAGTCCAGAAGTAGAGCTCAGTCTTAAACATGAAGGTCATCTTCTAAGGATTATACAGGATTGTCTCTCACTTGAAATTTTTTGATCAATAATGAGTTTGTTTTTTTTTCCCCAAAGCTTTTTCTCTATTTCAAAGAAATAGGAAATTAAGGAAGCATTTACATCACTTTATTTTAGATCACATGAGAGCATCACAGTGGTCATGTCTAAGATTATATAAAGTGTCAAATAAGAAAAAAGGAAGAACTCAGAATAAGCATAAACTGTTGAAAAACACAATTTCCTCTGGAATAATTCAAAAGAAATAAAGATCAGTTAGTTTAAACAAAAACCCTTTTGGTTATCTACCGAGGGCTTTTCCTAACAAACACCACCATCACCACTACCACTGCAGATTTATGTAATTCTTTTATTTAGTGGCAATTGAAAGTGGTATACAGATGATATATGGGAATATTTCATGCATCTTTAAAAAGCAATCTCTTCCTGAGTAGAAAAATTCTAACTATTCTCTGTAAACAGTAGTATAGTGTATGTTGGAGTAGCAGGATTGGTTTCTCAATATCTCTGTAGTTCTATCTATAGGCAAAATATATGAGCTACTGTCTGTTTTCCTCTTTTCAAAAAATGATAACAAACAAATGCTGAAGAAAATGCCTAACTGTATGCTAGAAAACCTTCCTTTAAACCAGTCCTTAATATCTGATTAAGATAGCATGGATTTTACATTAACCTAGCTTTTTTTTTTTCTGAAAGAGAAAAAATATATTACCTTTTTTTTTTTACTCAAGAAGTTTTAAATCCTCCAGCCCTGCTAGTAGATGCAAAGTTTTATTTCTGTCTTTTTTAAATGGAAATGTCTAAACTTTATGATTGTAGAAAAAATATTATAAATCTGCATCAAAGGATCAGTAATTGTAAATCAAATAAACCCTAAAAAACCCATACTTCTTTTAAAATTCCTTGATGCTTGAGGGCAGTAATGTGATTTTTGGCAACTGGGACAAAAGACTTTTCTGTGCTTGGGACTGATAATATTGTAATTCCTACCTCTTTGTAGCCATTTGTTGTAATGATATATAACTTAGATTGTGTTTTAGCCTCACTCTGCATTCCAACAAACTCATACAGATTAGGTGACTCCAAAGTGAAGATGTTATTTATTTTCAAAGGTATGTCCTTTTTCCCAAAGTGCCCTCAATTCATAGGAACATTCAGTGGTATGCTGAACAAGGACACCAAGCTCTTGTAACAGATGAAATTTTGTAAAATTCAGTAATTCATCACATCACCTGCCTGAGTCTATTTTACCTAAATAGAGTTGAAATGTCATACACATTTTAATTAGCACACTATATACTATTGGTAGGTTTTAAATCAGGTACAGGTTTATAATATCTGAGAGTATATGTAGCAAGAACAAATTGCCAATTTGTACTTGGCTGAATGCAAAATTAGCAAAATTTGGTGCAGGGCAGTTATGTAAAAGACTTCAGTTCTATTGACCCAGATCTCAAAGCTCAGCTTAGGCTTTTTATAGGAGTTTTAACCATTATAAGTGGCTATGATTTATATACATTTCTAACTGAAGCAGGCTTTCCGGACTGCACATCCATGGAGTCCACCTATGAGGCATATGGGGACTGTGGAACGAATAAGATGCAAGCAGCATTGGCTTTGGGGAACAAACGGATTCTTAGTGAACCACTAGCATCACCTCAGTAAGTTTTGGAAGTCTGTTAAAAGCTGCCCTTCTCTGTTCCCACTGAGAATTTGCACAATTAAAAGTAGCATAACGGTTTTATTCAATATTCCTTTTCCTTTTTTTTTTTTCTGTGATACTCAACATTAATTTTCACTGTAATTCTGTTCCAGGTGTTTGTGCTCTACAAAAGGTTTTTGTTTCCAAGTACATGTTCTGCTACAGTAATTATCCATCCTGCACTGTAATTCGAGCCTGAAAGTTGATTTATTCTCCATGTGCTCTTTGTAGAATTAAATGTGTCACCTTTGTAACTGACTTACATCTGACAACGCTGATCTAAACAGTTGCAGAAATGTCTCATTGCCTTCGCAGTTACGAGCCCAATTAACTTGTCAACATTTTCCAGTAGTTATTTACTACAGATTTACCACATTTCTAATCAGCTACAGAAGT